GTTACAGTGGCGCCCCACGATGGCACGAACGTGGCGGGGCCAAAGTCGGGGGCCCAATCGTCGCGCTTCAACTGGAGAGAGAAAAAATAAAGCATGTGTCCTTTCAGCACCTGACGGAGGGAACCGAGTCTGAGAACCAACATGGGAAATACAGTCTAAGATTTTCCCGGACTTTTATTTTGAAATGAAGAAGAAAGAGATGCTAAATAACTGAATAAATGAGCAGCAGCTGATTGGTTGTCAGTGCCTCACCTTCTCAGGTAAAGCTTCGTACTCTCCGGCTCGGACAGACGGAAGACTTCTCCTAGATTCTTTTCGTGCTGCCTCTCCGTAAAGATAAACTGTGGGTGGAATAAAGATTATTAGCCGTGCTGCTGCGATGCTAAGGTCGATCAGCAACAACTTCCTGTTGTTGTGGCTGATGTCAGAACTCTTATTTGTGTTTTGTCCTGTCTGTTTGTTTGTGTGCATGTTAATATTAGAGTCAACACAGTCTCCCCCTGCTGGTTATTTTCTTTATCATTTTGATGCATGAAAAGTTTATTTATTGTTTTCTGCGTCCCGCACATCATTCAAATGTTTTAGATGAATCGAGACGTGGCGTCTCACCGGGCACGTGCAGCAGTTCGGCCAGTTTCCGTCCGAAGACGTTGGCGCAGTTGACACAGTCGTCCATGGAGACATTCTGGACGGGGATGAAGGGACAAACGTCCAGCGCTCCGGTCCGAGGATGCTCACCTGCACAGGTACGCACACGTCAGGTATCTCCTCTTGTGTCACACTTCCTGCGTGTTGCTGAAGGGCGCGGCTCACCTGAGTGTTTGCTCATGTCGATGAGGCTGAAGGCCTGCCGGGCGGCGTTCAGCGCTGCCTCCACCACGGCTGCAGGGGACCCACGAAGGTGTAGACGGTCCGGTTGGTGGAGGCTCCGGGGTCGACGTCCAGCAGCTGCAGCCAGCGGTGCCGGAGATGGCTGCTGAGATGGCATCGATCACCTGAAACACCAGGAAAAGATCTGCTCACCTTCTTCTGTTTCACCTGCCCTCTTTAACAGTTACACCATGTTTTAAGAAAAATACTGTGTTGTTTGAGAATTCACACAGCTGTGGTCAAAACCACTTAGGGGACAAAACCACTTTATTTGCACTCTGGCTGTTAAGAGACTCCCTCTGAGCGAGGGTTCGAGGCGGTACATACAAAGTCATAGAAATACAGGTGCTGGTCATATAATTAGAATATCATCAAAAGGTTGATTTATTTATTCCATTCAGAAAGTGAAACTTGTATAATGTATACATTCATTCCACACAGACTGATGTATTTCAAGTGTTCATTCCTTTTAATTTTGATGATTATAACTGACAACTAATGAAAACCCCAAAATCATCTCAGAAAATTAGAATATTGTGAAAAGGTTCAATATTAAAGACACCTGGTGCCACACTCTAATCAGCTAATTAACTCAAAACACCTGCAAAGGCCTTTAAATGGTCTCTCAGTCTAGTTCTGTAGCTGCACAATCATGGGGAAGACTGCTGACTTGACAACTGTCCAAAAGACGACCATTGACACCTTGCACAAGGAGGGCAAGACACAAAAGGTCATTGCTAAAGAGGCTGGCTGTTCACAGAGCTCTGTGTCCAAGCACATTAATAGAGAGGCGAAGGGAAGGAAAAGATGTGGTAGAAAAACTGTAGTACAAGCAATAGGGATAACCGCACCCTGGAGAGGATTGTGAAACAAAAGCCATTCAAAAATGTGGGGGAGATTCACAAAGAGTGGACTGCAGCTGGAGTCAGTGCTTCAAGAACCACCACGCACAGACGTATGCAAATGGGTTTCAGCTGTCGAATTCCTTGTGTCAAGCCACTCTTGAACAACACAGCGTCAGAAGCATCTCGCCTGGGCTAAAGACAAAAAGGACTGGACTGCTGCTGAGTGGTCCAAAGTTATGTTCTCTGATGAAAGTAAATTTTGCATTTCCTTTGGAAATCAAGGTCCCAGAGTCTGGAGGAAGAGAGGAGAGGCACAGAATCCACGTTGCTTGAAGTCCAGTGTAGAGTTTCCACAGTCAGTGATGGTTTGGGGTGCCATGTCATTTGCTGGTGTTGGTCCACTGTGTTTTCTGAGGTCTAAGGTCAACGCAGCCGTCTACCAGGACGTTTTAGAGCACTTCATGCTTCCTGCTGCTGACCAACTTTATGGAGATCCAACAGGACTTGGCACCTGCACACAGTGCCAAAGCTACCAGTACCTGGTTTAAGGACCATGGTATCCCTGTTCTTAATTGGCCAGCAAACTGGCCTGACCTTAACCCTATAGAAAATCTATGGGGTATTGTGAAGAGGAAGATGCGATACGCCAGACCCAACAAGCAACCTGGGCTCTCATAACACCTGAGCAGTGCCACAGACTGATGAACTCCATGCCACGCCGCATTGCTGCAGTAATTCAGGCAAAAGGAGCCCCGACTAAGTATTGAGTGCTGGACATGCTCATACTTTTCATGTTCATACTTTTCAGTTGGCCAACATTTCTAAAAATTACAAGTCTTAAGTAATATTCTAATTTTCGGAGATACTGAATTTGGGATTTTCATTAGTTGTCAGTTTTAATCATCACAATTAAATGAAATAAACAGTTGAAATATATCAGCATGTGTGTAAGCAAGTTTCACTTTCTGAATGGAATTACTGAAATAAATCAACTTTTTGATGATATTCTAATTATTGACCAGCACCTGTATTTTCAACTCAAGCGAGAAAGTTACATGATGCTGAGTCGCAATAGCCTATCATCAGCATTGAGATTGTCCAGACATCACTGAAGGCTTCAGAGCGTTGTATGGAGAGGGCCAGGCAGAGTGAGAGATTGAAAATTGGTTGCTAGAGGAGCAGGGCAGCACTGCCGTAGTCGAGCTGGATTATGCTGCTTTACTGTGACCAAGTTAGCATAGCATAGTCCTGATCGATCCGAACTCCATCCAGAAAACAAACATTTTAGAAGTTGTTGACCTGACAAAACATGAATTCATATGTTTAACAAATGCATCATATTTTAGGTATTTCGGCATCAGTTTGATGTAATTAAATCACAGTAAAATGTTTCCTTTCAGTTCATACAGCTTTGGTAATGGCAAGTTGTGTTGATTCGCGTTATCGCGTTGTGTGAACACTCAGCAGTTGTCCAGTGATAAAACCCGCGCGAGGAGAGCGTTGCGAGGATTAAATTCGCGTTTGGTCTGAATGCTGTAGTGCACACCAACAACTCTTTACACAGGCATGTGTCTTCCTCACAGATGAGTGAGTTTATGCTTCCCCAGGACCCTGGGGACATGTCTCCACCACTTTTGAAATTGAACTGATTTGAAGACATTTTTTAAAGTACAATGTCTTAAATAACCTTCTGAAATACAGCTTGCAGTTGAATAACAAATGTTAATGCCTTTAGAAAGGTTTATTTGCACATTAAGAAAACATGCAATTAAATATAGAAGAAACTAAATGTGCATTTTCCAAAAAAAGTAACTTGAGCTAAACAAAAAAAAAACAAGCTGCTGATTATAAAATGACCCAAAACGTGCAGCACAATCAGTAACTTTAACAACTTCTTGACACAGTTTCTTTTTGGCCAAGTTTTCCATTCTCTCCCTGTGAACATGACAGAAGAGGAGGAGAGACTAAATCAGGCCTCAGCAGGGACAATATTACAGGAGAAAAGTTGATCTGCAGGAGAAACAGATGCGAAAGCAGCACAGAATGACTGAGAGCATTATATCTATTATATTTATATATTTGAAATGTCACATGCTGCCTGAATTTTGCGTTTGGTGCAGAAGGATCACCAGAATGCAAGATATTAAGTGTTTAAAGGTCAAAATTTCACTGAGGATATCGTTAAAACACTGTTTACGGATCTTTTCCTGTCGTTCTCGTGAACCTAATATTGCATATTGTGACGTCTCATCAAGCCTTTAATCTAAGGCTGTATGTCCCCACCACTTTTCAACACAAAGTGACGCCCTTGGTATTCCTATCATCTATGTTGAAATGTCTAAAAAAGTATTAAATCTGAGCAGTTCATGAAAATAAAATGGTGTCCACTTGTAAATGACACAAAGAAAGAAAGGCAACAAACTAGGGTTTGAGACTCCGCTGCATCAGTTAGACAGCGAGAGAGATTTTATTTAAGGAGGGACGCAAACAAATACAGGAAACTCCAATCTGTCAGGTTTCAGTCCTTCTGGTAAAGGAGAGTCTCTCATTGCTTAAAATCCCTAAAATATAAATGCAGTTCAGTTCCTGACAGCAAAATATATCTGAAGTATTATTCTACAGGATCCAGCTGCATGAACTGTGACTCAGAGACGCTTTCTTCACTAAACCTGCCTTCAATCATTGAGCGTCTGAGTTCATTATTGATCTTGGAAACACGCTCAACTACAGGTTCACTTACGCAAGCATTATAACCAACGCAGTCTTCAGCAGCAGACTGAACTTTTAACTTTTCATCTGTGTTAGTTTAAAAAATTGTGATCACAGGTGAGTTCATTCCACAACATTAACGCAGGTTTTGATAAAAAATCAGTGACACTTGTTCCCTGATTTAGCTTTGCTAATTTATAATCAGCAAATGACATGTAATCAGTGCTTTCCATCACACTATATGGAGTTGTTTAAGTGATTATTGATGTATTTGTTTGTCGGTGTATAAACAGGTAATAAGTGAAAAAGATGTAGTCACATAAAATAAACGTTAACAGATACTGCACATTAATAAACACAGAATAATGTCTCTGCTTTCAGCCACATTATAGTGAGTGATAAAGATTTTATTATGATTTAAATGATAAATAAGAGTGTAATAAAGTGTCACAAGTCTGAACACCTTTACTGTTCAAACAACATGCAGGCGTTGATTTAGAAACTTCCAGATTGTGAAGAAATAAAAGATGAAATATAAAATAACCCACCTCTTTGTTTCGACCCTCAGAGAAGTTGGGGACACACTCCACCAGCTGAGCCATGGCGTCTGCAAACTGAATGAAAAGAGTTCAACCTCAAACTTTCAGCCCGCAGGTCCAACTAACCCCCCAAACCCCCCCGACTCCCCCATGTTTGGTTTACAGAGTCCAGCGGGGTGAGTGTAGGTCAGCTGACAATGATTAGACTCTGCTTACTAAACCAACAGCTTCACACACGCTTCATGCAGACAAACCAGCAGTGGAAAGTGCTGCTATAGCGCCCCCTACAGCAACTCACCCCCCATAACACCCCACCATAACGTGTTCATTTCAACTGATTATAAACAGGATGTCATTGAACACTATGGATTACAGAAAGGTTTGTTTTAGTACTGCTAACATGGAGCATTTATTGATTACAGGTCATTCTTCAAGGTTTGATTGGGCACAGTGGTTTTCTACCTGTAAACACTATTTTAACCCAAACTGATTTGATTGAATAAATTCATTCATTCACTAATCGACAGGTTGTATCCAGTTTACTATCATACTGCTCTCTGTCTTGATAATCTATTGATCCTCAGAGAAAAGCAATTGTTGTGAGGACAGAGGTCAAAGTTCAGGGTCTGACAGATTACAGTTTAACCACAGTGCATTTACTTTGGTTAGTTCAATGCAGCGGTTAAAAATGGCTGAGCCTTTGGAGAAAGACAAGGAAGTTCTTAAAACTCACTGAAAACAGGAATTCAAGATTTTAAAAGTAAAGCATCTCTATGTAAACCATTACGTTTAAAGTAAAAGACAGGAAAGTCACAGCTGCATGTTGCCTGTTGGGGTTAATTATTTGAAAAAGTTAAATCACATGAAGTCAAACTCCAGCAAACACTTAACTGTTAATCAGTGATCAGCTGGATATCTGACAGCTGATTGGTTCAGAGGAAAACCATTCAGTCCCCGGCGTTGTTGACTCATGAAGGCTGAGAGAGAGATCATAAATGTGTCTGCTGCCGTTTCTTTCAGGTAGAAAACAGTTGTCTTGTGTCTTTGCTGTCAAAACAAGCTTGATGCACAAGTTCAGGCTACACTGTAAAAACTCCTCTAGTTTAAATCATCAGAGGTGCATTTACCAAAAATAACCTTCATGCTCCCCTCAGGATGAGCTGTAAAACCAGCGCCATCATCAGGTCAACATGTTATTGTGTCCAACACTTTGGTTTATGACCAAATACCTGCAGAGCTGATGACATTCCCATCAGCCTCAGCTGTACTCTGCTTACTGCTAACTAGCGCATGTTAGCATGCTAACACACAAAACTCAATTAACATGGTGAACATGTATACCTGCTATACATCAGCATGTTAGCATTGACATTATGAGCAATAGTGTTGTAGTACTCGAGACCGGTCTTGAGACCACTTTTTGATGGTCTTGGTCTCCTCTTGGACTCAACCGCATTTGTACTGTCCCCCCTTCCCACGATGGTCAGCATGGAAAAGGAGCGTTGAATAAAGACGCTTACGTTGATTTCAGCTCTTAGTGTTTGTAAGTTGGTGTTTTAACAGGAATGTGGATCTGTCAGATCAGTTTGAGAAGCACCTGTGATCTCGTTGCACATTTTATTGTGTGTCATTAATGTGGGGAACTGGTCTTGGTCTTGACTTGGTCTCAGTTTGGGAGGTCTTGACTACAACACTAATGAGTATGTTAGCATTTAGCAAGTAGCATGGCTGTAGACTTAGTTGGGGTTTTATTATTTTTTAACCACCTTGGTAGATTTTTGAAAAATGCAGTAAATTAGCAGCTTATTCTTTGATGAGGTTTGTATTGTTTTGATTCTGCACAGACGTGACCATGGGACAGTTTTACTGTCCGTGGCTGAGACCGTTTCCCTTTTGGTGATCGATTATATTTTTCTAATCAAACAAATAAAAATAAAAATTTACAGAAGCTAAAGATTTACAAGTCAGAGGAATTTTATCATTATTTGACGTTCAGGCTTCACTTACTGATTTGTGGTTGTTTTTGTGTCTGATTTCCCCTCCAGTCAATCAACGAATTAAACTTTATTGATATAGCACCTTGCCCCCAGGTAAGTGTTGTTCAAGTGCTCAGAGGTGGCTTACAACATAAAACATGAAAGTTTGATGAAAACAAAAAAGTACAATTTAGAGACATACGATTAAAATGTGATTAAAATGCCAAAAGTGGAATAAAATTAATAAAAACTAAATAGACTCAGTTTAAAACGTGGGATTTTTTGCAGTGTGGATTCAAACAGTTAATGAACAACTTGGAGCTGCTGTGTTTTATGATGCCATAATTCGCTTTTTATGAGCTAGCTGACACTTCCTCCACTGCAGCACGGCTCACCTCAAATATAAAATAACATGGGTAGATTAAAGAAACTTTAAACACACTGAAACGTCTCCGATCCGAAGCCACTAATCAACATGGACTTTTGGTTTTTGCTTGTTTACATTTTGGGTAAGAAAGCTTCAGCTTGTCTTTTTATTTTAGACATTTCAACAGGACTTTTCATGTGTTTATGAGTTATAGTGTTGGGTTGTTTAGTTAGTTTATAGCTGTAAAGTGTAAACTGAAGAGGCAAGTTTTCTTAATTAATCACCTCATAACTTCTCCTTCTTGCAGAACTCCCCAATTATCAAGGCTCAAGGCTTTAAACAATAACTATCAAGGACTTTTGGGGCTCTGTACCTACCTCATGTTGGTACATTTCTGATTGATTTGTCCTAATTCCAGTCTAAATTTGAATTTCTGATCTCAGAACCGGACTGTGGGTTGATTAGTTGATTTAACATATTGCTGTAGCTGCTGTCAGTTAAATTTTTCTGATATTTCACTGAACATTCAATAAAGTTTTTGTTTATTTATCAGGGATAATGGAGAGTCATTCATTGTCCCAGATTTAGTTAGATAAATTTGTTCATCAGTCCCTGGGCAGGCAAATACAGATAAATGTAAAATAATGTTGGGAGATTCATAATGTGAGTAATTTGATAAATTTGGCTTAATCATTCAGCACTATTTCAAATATATATATAAAAATACTCCACCCAACAACGTATGTGTGGCACCTTACACACAAACAAATACATTTACATTAGAAGTTAAAAATATGATAATAACTTATTTGAATATGCTGCATTATTGGTTAAAATGTTGAACCACACTAGCAGCTCGTCGATAAAGAGCATTTTCAGTCAGTCCTCCACTTTGATCCAGACTGAAATATATCAATAGCTGCTCTCGAACATGTTAATGTGTCCAACACTTTGTAACTAAAGACTTACACTGTGCTTAGTTAGCGTGCTAAACTAAGATGGTTAACATTATTCCTGCTAAACATCAAAATGTTAGCATTGCCATTATGTTAGCGTGCTGATTTTAGCATGTAGTTCAAAACATTGCTGTGTCTAAGTAGAGCAGCTAAATTTGTCCTATCCAATCTAATTATTGTAAAAATGTTGTCTCCTCACAGCTGTTCCTTTGGCCGCCTCTAGAACTGGAGCACAGTCCACCACTACAACATCATCAGCATCAAATACCACCGACCAAACCTCCAACACTGTATTCCCAATACTAGCTTCTACCGCTACTGCCACTGTTGATTCTGCTACTGTTCCCTTTACTACTACTACTTCTTCTCCTACTACTACTGCTGATGCTTCTTTTACTGTTCCTACTGACCAAACCAATGCTACTGGACAAACCACTATAACTTACCACCAAAATACTACAACTACAACTAGCAGTGATCTGACCAGTACCTTCTCCCATACCTTATCTTATCCCAGTACTGCAACGACTTTAACCACTTCCGACTTCCTCAATGCTACTACAACAACTACAACTAGCAGTGATCTGACCAGTACCACCTCTTATCCCAATACTGCAAGTACTTTAGCCACTTATTCAACTACCAGTGCAGATCCACTTAGTCAACCAACGTTGACTTCTACTCCTCCTCCTCTTCTTACTCCTCCTCCTTCCACTATTCCTCCTCCTCCTCCTCCTCCCACTACTATTCTTACAACTCCTCCTCCTAATACCACTACCACTACTCATCTTCCTAATACTACTACCGCTACTGATCCTCCTAATACTACTAATACTACTACTGCCGCTACTGATCCTCCAATACTACTAATACTACTACTGCCGCTACTGATCTCCTAATACTACTACTGCCGCTACTGATTCTCCTAATACTACTAATACTACTACTGCCGCTACTGATCCTCCTAATACTACTACTGCCGCTACTGATTCTCCTAATACTACTAATACAACTACTGCCGCTACTGATCCTCCTAATACTACTAATACAACTATTAACGCTACTGATCCTCCTAATACTACTAATACAACTACTGCCGCTACTGATCCTCCTAATACTACTAATACTACTACTGCCGCTACTGATCCTCCTAATACTACTAATACAACTACTGCCGCTACTGATCCTCCTAATACTACTAATACAACTACTGCCGCTACCGATCCTCCTAATACTACTAATACAACGACTGCCGCTACTGATCCTCCTAATACTACTAATACAACTACTGCCGCTACTGATCCTCCTAATACTACTAATACAACTACTGCCGCTACTGATCCTCCTAATACTACTAATACTACTACTGCCGCTACTGATCCTCCTAATACTACTAATACAACTACTGCCGCTACTGATCCTCCTAATACTACTAATACTACTACTGCCGCTACTGATCCTCCTAATACTACTAATACAACTACTGCCGCTACTGATCCTCCTAATACTACTAATACAACTACTGCCGCTACCGATCCTCCTAATACTACTAATACAACGACTGCCGCTACCGATCCTCCTAATACTACTAATACAACGACTGCCGCTACTGATCCTCCTAATACTACTAATACAACTACTGCCGCTACTGATCCTCCTAATACTACTAATACAACTACTACCGCTACTGATCCTCCTAATACTACTAATACAACTACTACCGCTACTGATCCTCCTAATACTACTAATACAACTATTAACGCTACTGATCCTCCTAATACTATTACTCCTCCTCCTCCCACGACTATTCTTACAACTCCTCATCCTACCACCACTACTCATCCTACTACTACTACTACTCATCCTACTACTACCACTACTCATCCTACTACTACTACTACTACTACCACTACTCATCCTACTACTACTACTACTACTACTACCACTACTCATCCTACTACTACTACTACCACCCCCCCCACTACCACTCCTCTGGTTTGTAAAAACGGTGGGATATCACTGAATGGTGTCTGTATCTGTCCTGATGAATGGACCGGAGCAACATGCTCAGTAGGTGAGTCAGGTTTAGCAACAGAAGTACAGTCCACAGTTTTTTCTAATTATTTCTAAAAATATTAAAGTTGCTTCTGATCTGTTCTCAAGCAGAAATCCTCTAGCCCTACCATTCGCCCCAAAATCGTATTTATTGAGTATTTCGTGGTCTCCAGCGGATTGACTTTCTCCATTTTGGACAATGGGCTCCACTTTCTTGTCAAATCAACAGCAGGCTAACACTCATTTTGGGTACTGCTATCCTGTCACAATTTTAGTTTTGTTTCACCACATAGTCTTTTGATTTATAAATTTAAACTCATACCATTACTAAAAAATACAATTTCTTAGTCAAATACTGAGCAAGTTCTTAAGGTCACACCAGCATATGGAGTCTATGAATTAACACTGTATGCAGACGACACTCAATCTTCATTTGAGACATTTTCAAATCAAACAAACTTGCATCCAGTCACATCTTTTTCTGCCTTTGAATGAAATCACACCTCATCTACAATTTGCCTCGTGTTCTGTCTGAACACACCTTCAAGCGTCTTGTTTACCCACTCAATAGAACATCAACACTTAGTAGCAGATCATTATTTAATGTTAATGTCAACCTCCTTTCCAAGGCCAACTGACCAGCAAATCAAAACACAGCTTATTTTTGTTAAACTTGTCCTCTTAGGAAATTTCTGTGAAGCAGATAAGCTCAATGAACACCTGTTCCCGCGCACACCCATCGGCTGGTTTGCATATTCTGAGCAAAAATGTCCCAAAGGAACAAGTGGTGGTGAGTTTCGACCAACCATCACTCTACATATTCATCTATTGCTATCTATCAATCTGTAAGTGTCCAACCATCCATAATATTCTGGTGTTTTTCTTTCCAACCCTTATTAAATTTCCACCCAGCTGGTAAACCACGGGCTTCGACTAGATGTTCCATGAAGAACGGAACACTGAGTTTCGACCGTCCACCACAGGTGCTCCAGTGTGACCAGACGCTCAGTGACATACAACAAAATGTGAGAATCACATCACAGGAAACAGTGAAGGAAAGGCTGAATGTTAATTTGTTAAAAACAAACAATTCCAGCTTAATGGCCAGTTTTGGCATTGATGTAGAAAGGAACATCCCATACAATATTTAGTTCAGGTTAAGGATAACATTTTGCATGAATGAAAGCAAATGTCTTTCCTCTCTCAGCTTACTAGTCCAGCTGATTTAGAGATGCTGGCGAGCAGCACTCAAATTCTGACCTCCAACCCCGAAGAGCTAACGGCAGAAAATGTTACAACTGCAGCTCAGATTGCCAACACACTGCTGCTGTCTCCAAACGCCACAGAGGTACAGACTGTCAACGAATCTGAAGAAGAACAAACTGCTCTTTTAAAACTAAGTTTAAAGTGTGCAGTAGACGGCCATGACCAAGCTACGACGACTATACAATAGTGATAATTTGAAGGATAAAAAACTTAAATGTACTGTATATATCACTTTTAATACATATTTTGATGTAACTATACTCGGTGTGTGCCATGTTAATGTTTGCATTGCAGACTGTCAGGGTGGCAGCAGTAGCTACAGTCAGCCAGCTGCTGAATGCCAGCACGCCGGACGATAGCCAGGAAAACAACGCTACTCTGGGGTAAACTTCATCTTATCTTTGTTACAATTACTGCAAAGAATCTGCCTCTGCTAGCTTGTTCACATCTCAGGTTTAATCGCCCATGTGTTCCGTGTAAAAAATGTTCACCTTTACAGACCTATTGTAGCCAGAAGCTGGGGAGAGAAGTTTTCTCATGACAGAAATACGTTTGACTGTAGCTGAAGTGGGGGATTCAGGATCAAAATAGGGTTCAATTAGCTTGAAAATGAGGTGTCCACAGTTGTTTGGTTTTCAGTTCATATCAGAGCTTTCAGAAAAGAAATCCCCAGTTCCTCTGTTGTAATCATGACTTGGATATTGATGTGAAAGCTATTTACAAGTTCCTCAACAATGAATCAGAGCTTTACACCAGCTTCATCTGCATTTAATAAAAGCCGGGACACTCACTTGATGCTGTTTTGGCTTGAGATCGAAGCCCTACAGGAGCCTTAAAAGAGACAAGAAAAATCCTGATGTCAATACTTCAGATTTTAAAGCCGTTTGTTAGTTTTCTAAATGAATAAAACAAGATCCGAAGAATCTGACCAAACAACAGTTTTCAATACTTTCTCTTACAAACTCTCTTCGGACTTTAAATGCATCCACTTGGCTGTTTGATTTCAGGTACAAGGTTGTTAGTCATTAAACAGCACAAGGCTGCATAACGAAACCAAATGTGTAGTTCCTTCATGCTGCACACACAACATGTAATTAAGTGGAGGCTTGTATTAAAATATGGTAACATATATATATAATAATAAAATAAAACAATACACTTTCTTATATACATATATACAGACACGTATCTACACCGAAAAACCCTGTAAAACACAGAGTCCACCTTCTCTCATCTGGGCGGAGACTTGCTCTGACAGCTCAGAACCTGGACCACCTGCCGAGTGCTTGATCCGGGCTGTTGATTGGGCAGGTCTCTGTAACGAAGTGGGCACAACAGTCTCTGAATTCTGTTGTCTGGTCAACATGAGTCCCTTTTGGTCCAGACCGGATCTTTAGGAGCAGAATTAAGTCCCAGCTGGGCCAGCATGGCTCCTCACTGGCTCTCTTTCCTCTCCTCTGAGCGATCACCCGCCGTGGCACCTGGTCCGGTTGTTTGGGCCGGGTGGATAGTGGTCTGCTGCTCTTTAATCCAAAAACCCCGTCTTCATCTTCCAATGACAGTACTAATGTCAGAGGTAACGCATGTTTGGAAAAAAAGCCATAAAAAACAAATAAAAAACAAAAGTATAGCGAAGTTTGAAGGAGCTACCGGCTGCTGCTTCTACAAGCGCTGCCGGTTGCCAAATGGTTTTCAGTTGGTAAATGAGCAGTGCCTAAAGTCGAGTTCAGCCTTTCATTTCATCTGAATTTTTTACCCTGCAGATTTGACAATGTTAGTATTTCTATATATTTCTGTGTATTTTGTGGCCAGCCTTACGGTGACCCTGGACCAGCTCTCTGTGAACCTCAGCCAAAGTCTCAACACGTCTCAGAGTCAAGTAGTCCAACCAAACCTGGTGGTCCAGTCGGCACAAATCCCTGCTGCAGACACTCAGGGAGTCCAGTTCACCTCTCTCTCAGGTCAGTGTCATGATTTTGAAGCCGGTCACATGATCTGATCAACCTCTCAGGTGTTCAGTTCTGCACTTTGAAAGCTGGTCTTATCCATCTAGAACTATAGCCAGGACAGGGATCATAAATTACCAATGACTGAATTATTATGGAACAAAGTTTTATTTACCAGCAGACCACCATGATGTCCCACTGATTTTATATGATCGTCTGTCCTGCTCTGTCCAGGTGACTCCAGGCTTTTAATTAGTCTAAAGTCCACATCAGCTGCGGTGTTATTTAATCTGCTGGATAAAGGTTCAGCGAAATTTTATGATGTTAATAGTCATAACTCTGTTCTGTGTCCTGCTGTGTCTCCGGTTTAGTCTTTCTTTTATTGTCTGTTTGTACTGCTGGTCTTTCCTCATGTTTCTGTATTTTTGCAGCATTTCAATAACAGTAGGTTGGACTTTTTTGTGAACTTATCTTTGTTTTTGTCCAAAAGCTGCTGGCAGTCAGCACCACAGCTGGATTTGTTTTTCACTGATCTCCCAAAAACCGCAACTAAATGAAATGGGTGGCCACGTCCACGTCTTTTATAGCCAGCGGTTGATGTCGAGGGCTACAGAAGCTTAAAGGGGACAATAATAATAATAATAATAATAATAAACACATGTGCAGCCAGGTGGTGAAGTAAGAAACAAATGATTCTCTGTTTCGCAAACCAACATCTGAAATATAGCAGCAAAGAAGACGGAGCAGTTTGTGTTTCTGTGATTAGGAACGTCTGGCAGTTTTGTTGCTGACCGAATTCAGCTGAACACCAACGTGTCAACAGTTGTGGTGGAAAACGGGTTCGTAGCCGACGCCCTCATATACATAAGATTCACACCAGGTGAGTTAACTGCAACTGAGTGAACCTGCAAACTGTTTTATGGCTCACTCCGCTGTTTTACTGCATGGTAGTTGACTGCATAAAATAAAGGTTATTAAAGTCTCAAACATGCAAAATTGCACATCTTTGTAAAAAGTTTTATAAATGTTCTACAAATAAACCTGTCAGTTTCTTCTTGTGTCTGAAGAGGCTGTCAGTGGCCGTCAGAAGCCATCAAACGTCTCGCTGGGTTTCGTCCTCTACCAGAACGACCGTTTCTTCAGGTCGAGGCGGTATAGAAGGGGACGGGCCACCATCAGGGTCCTGTCGGCCAGCGTTAGAGGTCAGGAGCGCAGCGTGGTGCCGCAACACGTGGAGATGCTGTTCAGACCAACGGTAAGAAAATCAGATTTTAATTTAACAATTGTTTAAGGGCCTGTACCGACTTTTCCCGAACGCACACACGATTTCATGTAAAAGTCTGATACTGTGGCTACAACCTGTGTTTTTAACCTAAATTTGTTTCCATACAGTCTAATTGTCACCCATTAAAAAGTAGCTGTTTGTTTCAGTGGAACTGTTAATGGTTTGTTTTTTATGGCACCAATAAACCTGAATGATCTGCTGTGGATTCATCATGACAGTGGCTGCTGTGGGATTCTTTTCTGTTGTAGAGGAGGTATAATGAAAAACGACACTAAAGAGTACCCAGGGCCTTAAAAAGCACACCAAGGGGTCTTGACTAAGCGCCCATGTGTTGAGTTGGGAGTAAGAATGTGTTGCAATAACTTGATAACGTGATTCTCTGACTTTTAGTCCAGCGCCATCATAAGGTCAACGTGTTGATGGGTCCAACACTTTTATGACCAAATACCTACAGAACTGATGATATTCCACATCAGCCTCAGCTGCTCACTCTGTTTACTGCTAATTAGTAGGGTTGCAACTAAAAACTATTCTGATTATCAATTAATCTGTTGATTTCTTTTGCGATTTTATCGATTATTTATTTCTCACAATGTTCAAATGTTGTGTTTTATCCATCTCTCCAGGTCCAAAACCTTAAGACATCAGGTTTACAATTATAAAAAGACCAAGAAAACAAGCAAACATTCACATTACATCTACAACCTGTACAAAAAATTACTGTAGTAATTGATTATCAAATTAGTTGCCAATTACTTGCAAATGTAAGCATGCACACATGCTGAACTCCTTTGTTTGTTGTTTTTGGCTAACAACTTCAAAACAAGCTAACGGGTTACAAATTGTATGCGGACCTTAGTAGACATGGCGAAGATTGCGCCATGCAGACTCGCTTTGGTTGCGAAAAGCATGAATTGCTCTTGTTTTCCCAAAGAGCTGATGTTTGATTTCAGTTCTTCTGTTACAAGGTCAAACTGTGTAAATGCATGAGCAAAGTTAGAGGCTTACAGATGTTGTATCTGCTGCTGTCTCAGATGATGAATGGGACGTCTCTGTACGACTTCGCCTGTGTCTTCTGGGACTACAGTCTGCAGGACTGGAGCACTGACGGCTGCTCTAAAGGGAACGCTTCAGACGGAGTCCTGAGATGTTTCTGCAACCACACCACCAACTTCGCTGCTCTCTGGGTGAATATCACAAGTGTGCACTGAATGTTAATAAATTTCAAATGAGTGGAGAAGAATGTTGTGGGAAGTCTGCTGGACAAAAAAGATTTATCATGTTGATGAGCTAAAAGGTTACACCATGACCATCAGGTATTTAATCAGATGTACACTTTCTTGCTTGAAGCTACTTGTTGAAAGACTTGAATGATGAAAATGTGATTCTGTCTTTGTTTTTCAGTCCTTCAGAGAGAAATATCAATATGCAGAAGCACTGGATGTGATTTCTATCGTTGGGCTTTCTTTTTCCATTCTGGGTTTGGTTGTAACGATCATTCACCACATTAAAGTGAAGTAAGGCGTTATACTATATTACATCAAAATGTTCCATTGTATTTTGTTTACTTTCTCACCGTCTACTCTTTCACAGTCAGTTCTTTAAGTTAGCAATTAGGTTGGCATTTCTTTAAGCATTTCACTTTCAGCCTTTTGGTTAGCTTTCCTCAGTGCCCCTTATTCAGAGTCACTCTCTGGTGGAAAGTAACAAGTACAGTACTTTCTACTGCTACTCTACGACATTTTTACTACCTTTATTTTATTTCAGAACAGGGAGACGCAACACATGAGACACAATTAGCTTAAGAATCGCAGTTTTTCTCAGTCCGAACACACATCAATTCAATCAGTGTGACTTCCACTTCCCGAGGACATCTATATCTCTGATGTTCATCCAGTATAAACCTGAAGAAATCTGTTTGGAAAGCAGAGGAAAAAGACACTTCTCATGGCTCCAGAACTGGGAATCATCAGGCTTTTATGTTTTCTTCAGTATCTTATTCTCAAAATATAACCGTCTCTCTTTAGCTTTCAGAAAAACTCTCGTGGGGTGCAGAACAACAAGGACTCCAAAATCGCTCTGCTGTGCATCTACCTGAGCCTGCTGGCCTTCATCATCACCTTCCTCTCTGGCGTTGGAAACTCAAGCACACAGAACAACGCTCAGGTGCAGGTCAACAGTCAGACCAACGTTATCCCAGGGTCTGATGAGCACGTGGAGCCGGACCAAGGCTCGTGCTCGGCGGTGGCGGTTCTGCTGCAGTTCTTCCTGTTAGCCACCTTCATGTGGAACAGCGTGTACGGCACTCAGCTGGTGCTGCTGGTCCGGACGTTGCGCCGCAGTCTTCCTCCACACTGGACTAAACTCAGCCTCGCTGTGGGATGGGGTACGAGATTTAAGTTCAAATCTTTGGGACGTGAGCTGCAATTCTGCTCCGCCAGGCAGCTCGTTGGCAAGCGTATATGGGGGTTGTTCTCATGTGTTTTTCTATTATAATTGAATTATTGATGGTAGAACATAAGGTGTCCTCTATGACAACAAGAATAATAATGGTGGTGACACTTTAACATTCTTTGTCTTTAATAATGAGTGTTATACATTACAAACATGCAATGAACAGTTTTTAGGCACTATAATATAGCTGGAAGCAGATATAAGGACATTTTAAATCTTCATTAATGTTTAACTTCTCTTTTGGGTTTTACTGTATTGTCATTTATTATGAGTTTATATAGCAGCCTCCACTTGTGTTTGTTCACAGGAGTAGTTGTACTTTAGTACACACTTAGATCTGTTTTATAGCTACAGTAGTGTTATAATCCAGCTACTACATGTTTTTGCAATGAGTATAGTTTTCGAAACAATCTAGCAAAGTGTGTTACACAGAAAAACTAAATTAAAACAAATCATCATAATGAAATAGTGGAAAAACTAAATACAATAAAATAAGTCAAATTAACTGATGAAAAACATAAAAATAAAACTTAAAGCTTGTTTACAATATTATTCCCGAAACACCATAAAACTGTGAATTGTCTATTTACTCTTCCTCTTGTTTGTTCATATTAAATAAACTAGATTTTTTTACCTTTTACACAGCTAGGATAGCGTCAGTCTTTATGCTAAACTAATCTAACGAACTGCCGGCTGTAGCTTCATATTAGCGTACAGACATGAGAGTGGAATCAATCTGAACATCTGACTGTCCGAAAAAGAACAAGGGTCGTGTTTAAACAATTCGTTGAAGTACGTTGAAGGCTGAGCCCAAACACTTCTTGACCATTACGATAATCTGTTAAAGCATGGCGCTAACAACAACAATGAAAGGATATCCTCTTCAAATTTAAAGTTGCATTTAAAGCCATTTTATCTGTTTTAACTTCCTGTCTCCTCTTAGGTGTCCCAGTAGTCGGAACAGCAATCACACTGGGAGCCACCTACAGGGTTGACAATCCTCTGGGATACAGGCAGGAGGAATTGTGGGTCTATTAATATCATTACCTTTACTAATTTATTAACTGACACTTTTTGCATCACTTCTTCAATTCTTAATTTTCCAGTTAAAATCTGTGTCTCTAAATTAACTTTAGGATCTTTGGAAACTTTGGATCTAAATTAGAGTTCAAAATAAAATTGTGGGTGTTTTTTGATCAAATCTTGTAGACAAAATCTGATCTTTTATTTCTGGTCCTCTAGCTGCTGGCTCGCAGCTCTGGATAAGGCCAAACGGTTCGACTTTGGGAAGCCGATGTTTTGGGGTTTCCTGCTTCCAGTTGGTCTGATTCTGATCTACAACATCGTACTGCTGGTTCTGGCCTCTCTGATCACGTGCAGGACAGACCCCAATCTGAAAAGGTAGTGGACGTTTCATTTCCCATCGTCGCATGTTTATCTTAACTATCTTAAAACGAGACAGAATGAAATCTCAGCTTTTTCCCCTGTAACTTTCCAACTTAATTTCACAATTTTATTCTTTAAATGTTTAGCTCTCGCTGTATTTCTGCTGATGAAAAACAGCATTCATTGTTGTCATGTTATGGTTTAAAGAATAACTTTAATTCACAAACCTGTTTCTGACGCAGCAACAACCGTCGGTCCTTGTGGAAGAAGTCCTCATCAGCTTTTCTCTGTCGGTCTTACTGGGTCTGTCTTGGACTCTGGGGTACCTGGTGCTCGTCACTACAGGACACACCCACCTGGTCTTCAGCATCGTCTTCTGCCTCTGTACAACAACACAGGTACGTTACTTTGATATCACAATTTATATGAACTGAAATAATCCATCCACCTCACAGGTGTGGCATTTCAAGTGCTGATCTGACAGCATGGGTATTGCACAGGTGTGCCTTAGGCTGGCCTCAATAAAAGGCCAGTCCAAAATGTGCAGTATCTGGTGTGACCACCATTTACCTCACACAGTGCAACACATGTCCTTCGCATTGAGTTGATCAGGTTGTTGATTGTGGCCTGTGGAGTGCTGGTCCGCTCCTCTTCAGCGCGAAGTTGCAGCCAGGTCGAGATCCCGACGAGGACGATGAGCCTGCAGATGAGCTTCACTGAGACATTCTTTGGTTATGCAAACCGATTGTTGCACCAGCTGTCCGGGTGGCTGGTCTCAGACGATCTTGGAGGTGAAGATGTTGGATGTGGGGGCAACAGCTCTGGTGGACATTCCTGCAGTCAGCATGCCAACTGCACACTCCCTCCAAACTTGTGACATCTTTGTCATTGTGCTGTGTGATGGAATTGCACATTGTGAATGGGCCTTTTATTGTGGCCAGCCTAAGGCACACCTGTGCAATACCCATGCTGTCTGATCAGCATCTTGATATGCCACACCTGTGAGGTGGATGGATTATCTCGGCAAAGGAGAAGTGCTCACTAACACAGATTTTGACAGATGTGTGAACAATATTTGAGAGAAATAGCAACTTTCTAAATTCTTCCATCTCACGGAGAAAAGAAGTCAGGTCAAAATAAAATTTGCATTATTGACATGAATGTTAACAGTATTACCAAAGCTAAAGGAAAATACAATAAAAAATCTATTCATATAGTTCATCGAATAAATAAAATAATTGTATTTCTACATATTGGATATAGAATAATATTATCTAATATTGTTAATTTCTCTATGTCTTCTTTCATTATGGCTGTGTCTCCTTCTGGCAACAATAACAGAAGCCATTTCTGCGCAACACCTGCCGGTTTGCACCTTCCTTTCAAACGTATTAAATACTGAGGATGATGCAAATGTATTTGGGTTGTTGGATAGTACCTCTAAATTAATGAAATAGGAAATCAAAGGTTGCCATTTGTGGAAAAAATGACTTCCAATGTAACAATAAGGAACGTCTTGCCAGTAAGGATGTGAAAGCTATTATGTCCTTTGTGAAGGGTTAAGTACAAGTGAGGGGTCGGGAATCCCAAATATAGCAATCAGAGGGCAAAGTTGGAGATTTACCCCAGAACAGAGGACACAATAGTAAAATAACCTTTCAGATCAGGACACAGAAAAAACATGGGGCTAAGGTGACAAGGAGAGCCATGGCATTCATCACATTTCTCTCCCACTACCAGAGACAGTTCAGATAGTCTAGACTTAGAGAAATGTGCCCTGTATAAGACCTAAAACTGAGTAAGTCCGAGACAAGAACAAGAGGTGGTAGATCGTATCCTCTGAATGGCCTGTTCTCAGGACTCCTCGGGTATTTGCATTCCCAGTTTGTTGATTTGCTTCTAAAGTATTAAGCAGTCTGGCTGCTGTTTTGTTTGTTCTACACCTTCATGCTCAGACACAGGAGCAACTTTATGTGACATACAGTATAGTCACATAACGAAGTGTTTGGAAGGAAAACAAAGAAAGAGGTGCTGAATTTAAACTTTCAGTCCAACAGTGCAATGTATATAATGTGTAACTTTGTACAGCAAAAGCAAACATATTTTTGAATGGAGTTTGGAATAAAGAGGCTAACCTTCGTCTTCCTGCTCTGCTGTGTTCAGGGGTTTCAGATCTTCATCCTCTTCACGGCCAGAACACAGAGCTTCAGAGCCACCGTGTTGCGGTCTGCTCAGTACTTCTCATCTGTCAGCATCCAGCTCAACTACACAAAGTACAGTCTGTGGAAGAACTTATGGAAGACGGCCAACTCCGAGTCCTACAGAGACCTGAGAAACAAGGAGGGGTCCACCACCGAAACCCTGTAGGCAAGACATTCAAGTGCTTTGGTGCAAATATACTGCATGCGTGTGAGGAAATCTTTGGGTTTATTACTCTGTGTTTGTGAACGTGAGTCATGGAGGACATTAAGATACTGCAGAACACTTTGCTCCAAAATGCTCCTGAACACACGGATACAAAACACATATTTATAGATTCAGCATGACTTTCATGTTCTGATAAACAAAACTGAGACAAAGACGCTGCAGAACCTGCCTGAGAATCTTCATGTTTTCAAGTTTCCTTCAGAACCACAGCGATCCAGTGTCTGCACATCCATGCTAACAGCTAATTCAGCTACTTTTAATGGGGACAGTTCAGCAGAACTCAGTATAACATCATGCAAAGCAGGCTAACAAGGAAGAATCCACCAGAGGAACTACATTTCCCATTGGAACCCCCAGGTGGAGCCAGAAAATGGTGCTGGGAAAATCACTCGAACTTTGGGATCTAAGTGGCTGACAGAACAAAAGGATAAAAAAAACTGGTCAGAATCAAATGGAAAATCTGATTTTAAGACAATTTGTAGGTTTGTTTTCAGCATTTCTTTGTAGTTTTTTAATGACTCCTCCTTCACTCCTAACGGGTTTTGGTGTAAAAAAGTATAATCTTCCTCAAATGGCCTCAAATAAGAAACATTTGAGATTTAAGAGTTTTATTTCAAACTAAAGTGACTCGGCTTGTTTTGGCACCAGGCAGCGGCAGAAGTCTGTTTTTAACAAAGCGAAGGAACAAACACTTTCATATTTTATTCTATCTGAGGTGATGATTCATGTTTTTGATAATTAATCTAAAATATTTTGCTTTTTGTAAAGAGCTGCATTTTGTTATTGATTGTTGAAGTCTACTTTCTGCAGATATTTTTATGTTTGTGATTATTATAAAGTACTCACAGATTGCACTTTTTCTTGTACAATATTGAGGTAGTATCATTTTAATCTTATGATACATATGATCCACTCCATTTCTCTGACAGCATTAGTTTCTGGTTTCGTTTTTCAGATACAATTTTTTTTATCCAAAACAAAATGATGCTTGAAGTAATATAATACAATTTAATGCATCAGTAATAATGATCCAATATTATTTATAATACAAAACAAAAAAGCCATTCTTTTTAATATATACTTTTATGTTTGAGACTATTTTGCTGGTTCATCTGAAGGAATATTTGTTCAGTGTCTTTGGTACTTTTATATTATAAAGATCAAAATGCTTCTGGTTTGATAATGTAAAGTTTTAGTTTAACGAGTTTAACTTCAAATTAAACATTTACTTCAAACTAAACTAATACTGACTGACTCGTGTGTGCTGTTAGGAGCTGAGAGATGTTTGTTACGTTCACCAGTGTGTCTCTTTAAATAAAATGTTACGTCAATGTGTTTCATCTCTTTTCTGACGTTTACACAGTCAAAGTGTAGTTTGTTTACATCAGTACATGAATTGTTCCTCATGTACTAGCTTCCTCTCTGAGAGACAGATCTTCATACCGGTGCCACTCTCAGGCCTGAAGCATCAGCAGCAACTAGTTAGCTTAGCTTAGCATAAAGACTAGGAACGGGGGGAAATGGCTCGCCTGGCTCAGTCCAAAGGCAACAAAATCCATCTACCGACCCTTTACCTCAGTGGTTCTCAAACTTTTACACATCATGGACCCCTAAATTAACACAAATTAGACCACAGACCCCCATTTGATAAGATTTTGTCCCAGGTTTCCACATCTGATGGGGCTTTTGCTTTTAGATGTTTTATTACAGAAAGTGTATGAAACCCATGACTAAAACAGCCAGACATTCTGTCTACTTACAGACAGAATTATAACGAAAATAAAGATTTCCCCCAGGGGGTATCCGGACCCCCACTTTGAGAACCACTGCTTTAACTTATAATGGTCTTTTTTAAATGGTCATGGAAGGTCTAAAACCTAAACTGGGAGCTGGCTATCAGAAAAGGTCCGTAGTGGTCAGACCTACACCAGTTTGACCAGTTTATGATGGCAGGCATTTGTTTCATCAGCAGAGGCAGCTTATTCTCGTAACACCCTCCAACTGGTTTAACTGGTGTTTCAGTCATCCAGTCTGCTCTACAAGCATCAGCTGTTAATAAAGTCAGTGGAGACAATGAGCCACTAGAGGGCGTCCAAACTCCACACTAACAGTTTCCCGTCAGACCAGGACGTCTTCATGAGGTCCATGAGGGTTTGATTGAGTTCCTCCCTGTTCAGAGCTGCAGCTCCCTAACTAACTGTTAGAAACGAGTGAAAAATGTCCAAAGAGACGTCTTGTTTTGTCCAACCAACAAAGAGATTCACTCTAGGAAAGTATGAAACAGAAAAACCTGAGACATTTAAGAAGATGGATCCAATCTGATATTTCTGTTCATGAAATACTGAAGATAACTGTTGCTGATTCATATTCTGCAGATGTTTGTATTTCTATCTGAACTATTTATTAAAGACGGCAGTGTAGCATCCATCCTCATTTCCCGTCCACTCGGTTGGTCTCAACATGAAACAGAAACGAGGCTCAGTGTGTTTGAAAGGCCGCTGAGGCTCTTTAATGACACATCACATGTTCACATGTTAGTATCAGTCCAGCATGTGGATTTTTAAAAACAAGCTCAAAAAAGGTGGATTTCCAATTTAACTGCAGGCTGCAGCTGCTGTGAAGGCTGAAAGATCAATAATACTCCACAACAGATGATTCCTCTCACTTTCCCTCCAGCTGACTGAGGTAAAAAAAGTATTTCCACAGTAAAAGGCAAGAAAAGATCCAACATGTGGAGGAAAAGAGATTTCCATGGAAAAGGCCATCCAGCAGAGCAGCTGCAGCTTTTCCAGGGTCAGCGCTGATTACTTGTTTAAAATATTAATTTTTGCAGGTTGGAGGACTTTAAACTTAATTGGCAGCAAACTGAACGATCAGCAGTTTTGAGATGTCTTACACATCCGCTTTGTAAATCTGGAGTTTGTTGTTTCCTTTTCATTTATTTATTTATATTTTAAACCTGTCCTGCCTGGCAGCCTGGGGAAAGGGGCTTGGAGCGAAGAAAAACAAACAACAAACAAAAAAACAACAAACAAACATAAAAGACTTGTAGTGAAGTGTTGTATGGTGGAGTGAAGATCAGGTGTGTGGTAACTAAGGTGCAGTTCAAATTGGAGGGTAGTTGTGACACAGGTACCCCATAACTGTCAGGTAGTGGAGCCTCCCATGTCATTGCACTTTACTGTGAACAGGTTAGCATAGCATAGCCCTGATCGATCCGAACTCCATCCAGACAACAAAACTTTTAGAAGTTGTCCTGCTGACAAAACATGAATTCATATGTTTAACAAATCTGCATCATGTTGTTGTTACTTCAGCATCAGTTTGATCCGTTCATTGCTATTTAATCGCAGCCAAATGTTTACTTTGGGTTCATACAGCTGTAGTGATGGCGGGTCGTGTTTATTAACATCATTGCATTGTGTGAACACTCGGCATCAGTCCAGCACTACAACTCACACAAGGATTAAATTTGCGTTTGGTCTGAATGCAGTTTGAGGTATTTCCTTTGCAGCAGCTAGCAGTTTACCAAGTTGTGGAAAGAGCATTTTCTGCTGGTGGTTATGGAATCACGCGTGGTACCAAGGTGTTTACTGAATGGTTGCCTTGGTAATTACGGGGGCTGCTAAAGCATTTCCAGGCAGCTCCTCTGGCTTTAATAGGTGGCTCGGAGGGTTGCTGCTATGATACATGTTTTTAAAGTTTAAAATACAAAATAGTCCTTTATGTTTGAGAGAGTTGATAATACCTTGGTAAGGTACTTTCAGTGTTTCTGAAATACAAAAACACAGTGGTTTACTTTGAAACATGGCGTGGCTGCTGTATTTCCTAGTTTATTTTGGTATCTTATTTTAATACACTTTGATGCCCACACCTGGCTGGTGCTTTTTTTTTAGGAGGGTGCTGGGCTTTTCCCAGGGGTCTACTGTGTTTCCAGGGGTTATATTGTGTTAAGTTGAGGAGACGTTTGCTAAGACCTCACTAGCCGCTCTGTTTGGTGTGGTTGACTGAAGAGATCATCTTGGGTTGGGATGGTGTTCGGAGCGGTTTCTGGGTGGTTACCTGTTTGGGTCATACTTCATCCTGGACCTTTGCTTGGGCATCGAAAGCCTCTAAAAGTCTGACAGTCTGAGATTAAAGGAGACGTGGCAGCTTCAACAGCTGCAGCAGAGGTTTGATTGATTCTTCTTATTTACTCGATGTCTCAACATCAGCACACATGGTCGCAGACAGGGGGCTTTATCAATGCCAGCTCATGACTAATGTTTGCTGGGAGTTCCTCATTCATGGGAAATAACTGCATCACATCAGTGTTTTTCTGTAGAAATTGGACGCTGACCACACGGGGCAACAAACTACGCTATGAGTTCTATTCACTCTGCAAATGAACCAGAGTAACAGCAAGACTTATGTAACTGTTTGGCTCTTCTCGGTTGTCATAGCAGCCATGAAACACCACACTGTCATTTTTGAAAATATGAAGGCAGCAACAATAGTGTTTTATATGTTTTGTCTTTGGCTGTTTGCTTTTTCCTAACTGAGCGGACAGACTGACTCACCTCCAGCAAAGTGAAGAACTAACTTTTGGCTTTTATCGTGCGGACAGGGATAACAAGGATTCAAGTGCAAATGATTAGTAACGATATCAAACGACATCAAATCAAGACAAACACTAATCCTTTACAGACGCAGCGCGCGGCACCGAGGCGAGGTCATCAGACTAAAAACAGAATCTTGGCTGAAACTGCTTTTCGTCGCTAACGAGGAAAAAGTCCTCGTTATGTCACCAGAGAGAGAATCCCCTCATCACAAATCACACACGTCGTCCAACAGCATCACAAAAACAGCGTAACCACGTCAAGACACAGCCAAGTACTGCTGACCGAGAGGTTTACAGAAGATACATACAT